TATATATTTAATTCTTTCCCCATTAGAGTGCAAGATCCCTCAGAACAGGAATGGTGTCTTATACACTGTAATATGTAACTGTCCACCTGCCTGGTTTTAGAGATGCCCAGAAGATTATTAAAGAACAACACCTGGGTTTGTTTGTGTGTGTGACAAGGGTGTGACCTTGGGGTTCCATCTGGGCCATGGCCCTTTCTCCTCTGCTCTGGGACTATCCCCCTGTTTTTCACTTCCAAGCTGACATAAAAACTGTAGGTTTCCACTGCTGTGTCCTTGCCCCATGATGTCTTAAAGCCAGAGCAAATGAACTGAAACTTCTGAGACCATAAGCCAAACTCAACTTTTCCTCCTTTAAATTGTGGGTGTCGGGTATTTCCTCCCAGTAATGGAAAATCTGCCTGATACAGAAAACTGCTGCCAAAGAAATGAAGACATTGGCTCCACATACCTGATTACATGGCTTAGAAGCCTTTGAAACTGGTTTGTGGGAGGCATTCAGAAAGGTTTTGAGGTACAGACTAGAGAAGTCCTAGAATACTGTAAGCAGAGGTTGATGGTCAATTCTAGTGGGAGCTTAGAAAACTATAATGCCCATAAGCATGCAGATTGTAAAGACTGAGGGGCTGGGGCTATAGATGAGTGGCACAGCATCTGCCTGGCAAGCACAAGGTCCTGAGTTTGATTCCTGATACTCTCCCACCCCAAAAAAGTCTGAGCTCTTGAGGTTTTATAGGGGAATGAGGACTCTAGTGAGCACTGGACTGGAGACCATGGGTGTTATAGTCTGGAAAATATTTTATCCACAATTCATCCACTCCTTAAAACTCCATGTAAGGTTATATTTAAAGACAAAAGACTAATTCATCTGACAGAAACTTTCAAGGCACCTCAATGTTCAGGCTGTGGTCTGTACTGCTGGCTGCTCCTAGCCAGATTTATAGTGAGAATAGGGAGCAAAAAGCAGAGCAGAAAGGTTTGAAAATACTTTAGTTTGGTCTGGAAACAAAGTTCATGTAAAGCTGGGACCAAAAAGGATGGCTGCTGGAGAGATTAGCATCATTAAGTCAAGTACTTTGAACTGAGATAAGAAGAAAGTTGCTCTGAAGGTATCTCAGGAGAGAGCAGGACCCCAACCACTGCAGGCTCAAGACTGCAAGTGTAAACATTTTATTTGACTAATCTTTGGGATGCCCTGCTCAAGAAGAGTTGATGTAGGAAGCTGGTTTCCCAGGATTCATTTCACCGTGTTATCTATCAAGGCACTCAGAGGCCATCGCGTTCATGATTCAAGAGAGCCTGGCCACTGATGTTGGCAACAGATGTTGGCATCATCCACATGGTACAGGTTGTTCACGGAACATGAGCCAGGACTTATGGGGTCATGGAGGCTTCAATCCAAGTCTTAAAGGTAGACCTGGGAGGCCAGGCAAAGTGTCCCAGAGTTAGAGTCCCTTCAGGGAGCCGTAAAGAGCACAATGTGAAGTTTTGAGAGTGAAGCTAAAGTTGCAATGGAGGGCCGGGGAGATAGCTCAGTAGAATAAGCACTTGCCTGGTAAGTGCAGGGTCCTGAGTTCAATCCCTGGTACCAAAATAAATAAATAAGTAAAGTTGCAATAGAAAGGCCAAGAATTCAGAATGTCTGCGGAGGAAGCTTCAGGCATCAAGCACAACACTACCGAAATTCACCTCTGACAACTATGTGCCCTCAAGGGTAGATGTGGAGCTGCAGGATTTAACATTTTTCCTTCTGGATTTTTGTCTTGTTTCTATTTGATCTTTTCTATCCAGTTCCTCCCTGTTTGCATGGGAATGTTTAACCTGCACAACTCTGTCTTCAGCTTATATAACTTGCCTTTGATTTTTTTTTTAACTGAGGCTCACAGCTAAGAACTGTCTTCAGTCTCAGAACAGAGTTTGGACTTGGACTTCTGAATAATGCTGGAACTGAGAGCTTGAGAAAGGTGAATTTCTAATGTACGTTTCCAGTTGTACACAGGATTGTTACATCCTGTTAGGCGAATCTTTATTTGGAGCTCAACTGTGGCTCAAGGTGAATGTGTTGAAATGTCAAGTTTACAAGAAAGGAAACATGGTGGTTAACCTTGATTTGTCAACTCCACTGGCTTGAGAGACACCAATGAGATGAGTAAAGCACAGTTCTGGGTGCACACGGTGGGGTCACAGAGGCCTGGCCTCTGGAACGGTCTCAGCTGGGGGCATGGACCCTTCTCACACTCTTTCCCTGCTTTCTGCTTTCTGCCCAGAGAGGGTCAGAGTTGTCTGCCATGAACTTACACTATGATGCTTCTGCTTGGAACTAGACAACATAAGTCAAACTAAACTTCTCCTTCTCTAAATTGGGGGTGCCGGGCAGTTTGTCTCAGCAACATGAAAGCTGACTAACAAGTTTATCTTTGCATTACCATATAGAAGAAGGCACAGTAGACACTAGTATCTATAATTGTTAGGATGTAACTATATATAATACTAAACATATGCTGAATACATTCATGTTTAAAGAAATCTGTACGCTGCAGAGTGTAACTGAACAGCATACCAAGATATTTTAATCTAATTACATAGCCAAATTGAGAACTCAGAATATTTAGGTCTTTAATCTGTGGAGCCAGTGCCCCAACACTGAATCCACAAGACAAATAAATGACTATAAAAGAGGTAAGTCTTAAAATTTTTACAAAGTCATTTTACTCTTATCCTTTCACCAAACATACCAAAATATTTTATTTTGAACACTAACAGAGTTGGTGGCAAAAAGAGTGAAAACACAGAGAGGCAAAGAACAAGGTACATATTTGATATCCAAAATTCAAATAACTCACTGTCAACATATGTATTATTTATCACGTCCTGAAATGTTTCAGAAGTAATAGGGATGCCCATGCTATCCAAAATATCAACCACTTCATCAGTGGCAACTCGGCCATCTTTTATACTACCAAAGATCTTCAAATTGTCCTGGAATACTACAAAAATGATAAAGAAATAAATTACTGTAACATGAGTATCAACAGCTTTTCCTGTAAAGTAAGTTCCCACGTTAATAACTTAATAGAGAAAAACAACTGTATGTAAGCATGGGTTTTTTGAGATGTTTACCTTTTTAAAAAATAATAATAATACTACATGGGTCTCACTACACAGTTCAGACTCGTAATGATCCTCCTGTCTCAGCCTGCCAGCACTGGGATTACAAGCACGTGCCACCACCCCCATTGCTGGGGCCAGCACAGCATGCCTGGGGTTCCAGGGCCAGCATGACATGTGGCACCGAGGATTGAATTCAGGACTTTGTGCTTGCCAGGCTTATGCTGCTGAGCTATCCCCCCTGCCCTAGATGTTTACTTATAAGTAATTATTTACTCAACTTTTGTCATATTTCTAGCATACATTCTATTTTTTGCTATTAATAGCTGACATTTACTGAATATTAATTATGTATCAGGCATTGCACTAAAAGCTATGACTTACATCATGCAACCACCCACAGTAGGCCTATAAAATAGAAATTATTATCCTTACTTTATAGAGAAAAAACTAAGGGCTAGAAAGTTCCCTTCAATTATACCACTAGTAACAGAAAAGGTAGATTATTAATCTAGCAATTTCATTCTATAATACATCCTTTTAATAATTATTTTATTCTTACATCTTAGTTAAAATCTTTACCTAAGACAATTTGTATCAGTGGTACACTCTACAATGATAAGACAACTTAACACAAAGTCCAAAGGAACCATTAATTGCTTAAAAATGAAATTTAGAAAAGATAATGTAAAAGAAAAAAATGGCAGAGACATGAAATTACCTTTCACAGGCTTTATCATGCTTCAAAGAGTTTGGCAGTGACTTAGCCACTACTATAATGGTTTTATTTCTCCATATAAATTTAATATCAGTATACCAACAATCCTTAGCATCAAAACTGAATTGTAAACAATGCAGAAAACTACTCATATTAATAGAATTCTTCATAAAAAAGCTTTCTTAAAACTTAAGGAGATTAAAAGCTATATCCCATAGCTAAATTGAAATTCTCCTCTACCCACTGCATCTTTTAATTTACCTTGATAAAAAATACAATTTCCATGACAGGAGATAGCTCTGGGGCCGGGGAGATAGCTCAGAGGCCAAAGCGCCTGTCTGGCAAGGGCAAGGTCCTGAGTTCGATCCCCAGTGGAAAAAAAAAATACAATTTCCATTATCAATTCCAGATAGAAAAACACTTTAGGGTCCAACTATATTTCCTTGGAATCTGAGATACAATAAGCATAATGACCTACAAGCCCTAAAATAAGCATAATCAAGGAGGCAAAGCCAGGCATTACTTATTTACTCAACTTGTAACTACAAGGAGCAAGAGTGGCAGAGTGAGGAATTCTAAACATCTGCCCCTCCATAAAGTAATGAGAACACCAAGAGCAAAAATATGAAAACTTCAGACTGATAAGAAATGAACCCAGTTTTTAAAATGGACAATAAACATGAAAAGGAAAAAAAACTCCACATGATTAATAATTATACTAAAAGTTAACAAATTTCATAATTGAGAAATATAAATAAGGTACATCATTTCTTACAAAATAAGAGAGTAGAACTTCCCTTTCTCTTAAAGATATTTATATTTTCCCAGTATTTTATGGAGAGATCTTTTCATTCTCAACACTATGCTTGGCTTTTTTAATTAGCTTCTAGGAGATCTACGTCCTTTAGATTTCCTCTCTTAACAATAGTTCATTTTGCCTCGGCAAAAAAATATATAAAGTATATATTTATGCATACATGAGTATGAAAAAAAGATTCTAAGGCCATTACTAAACTGTAATAGGATAGGAGAAATTTAAGGTTTTTCAATATACACATATATTACTTGGATATTTTATAAAAATGAAATATTATTAGGGCCGGCCAGATAGCTCAGCAAACTAAAGTGCCTGCTTAGGCAGAGCACAGTGCCTGGGGTTTGATCCCTGAGTGTCGTACTGGCCCCACCTCCGGGGTGCACTGAGACAGTGATTGGGACTGGGTGTGGTATTGCATGCCTGTAATCCCAGCACTTGAGAGGCTGAACACACGCAGATCACTATGAGTCAGATCTACATAGTGAGACCCTGTAGACCCTGTAGACCCTGTCCTAA